TCTTCATTGAAGTACAGAGTTGATGTGATTCTCATGGAAGAAACATAAGTTGATCCAAAACTGAAGCAACTGCCCTTTAGTTCAAGAACATTTCCATTTAATGTATCTGAGGCCACGCCCCACGCCCGTAGCCTCTGGGTCCTCTTGCCCTCGTATTTCATAGCGATCAGCGGCGCTGTATCTCTTCGGGATCTTTGTTGTAGTGACAGCTATATTCCCTCTGGATCAGCGTATTGAGGTGGGTTGAGCTTCGTTGTGGGCATATCGCTGCAATGTGGGGTAGCGTGAAAGTTTTTAGAAAGTATTTTGACTTCTATTTTAGTTAAATACGGAAATTTAACAATAAAACGAAATTAGCAGTTTCAGCTGATTGGCGCTTTTCATAATTAGTCATCATCTGGGCCCTTTTCCATTGCGAAGGCCCTTACTCATAGTCAGCAAGGAAATACCTAATGCCAGTCATGACCCATTGAAAACGTGACCAAAACAGCTACCTGCACTAATGAACCATAGAGCTTCCACCTTTATCAGTTCCGGGAGGTTATAGGAAAGCCTGGGCTGTTCCCAGGGTGTCGTGATGCAAATCATGCAATTTATATACCCAGAGAGGCTGTGTGAGAGAATATCACCGGAAACGGGCTTGCCATTTGGCTTGAGCGAAGCTAGATGGATTCCTTTTGCAAATATGGGAGATTGACTTAGGCATTGAAGATAAAGCCCCATGCTGCTGCAGTGCATTTTTCTCTTATCCGCATATCCGAAAGCTATAATTCACCCTCTCCATGAAAGTAAACTTCATCACTCTGAAAGGGCATGGGAAATTGAGTCGAAATACGATTCAAATAGGGAAGTAGGAGATTCCCATTCTCATGCGAGTCAGATAATCAAATCCTTCACACCTACGCCATAGACGACAAAGCGATTGTGTGTGTGCATGGTGGGCGAAAAATTTGATTTGAATCGAATTCGTTGGAGGCCGGAGGCCATACGGGCGAACGAATTGGCCTCTTTGTGCTTGATGGACGCCACTTTTCAAGGGTCGTTAACCCGTTGTTGAATAAAAGGATGGTTATGCCACTCAGTGATGTTAATTGGAGGTTGTTCCTCTCATGGGCCAATTTTTTGAAGTTTTTCTGTATTTTTATGAGTTTCAAAGAGGAATATCCCATTTCAAGAATCATTGCGTTCTCTGAATGGGGTCTACTTTTGCTTCCAGCAACTCTAGCTATTCTTTTTGCTATAACACTTTTCAAAATCATAGCCTTTGAAGAACCCATAATCTAGCAGCTCATTTTCGTGGCACTCCGCATTACCAATACCAGCTTAAGCATACACATACACATACATAACATAACACATACACATACAGCTTAAGAAATATTGCAATGAAAGTGGACCACTTTGGGACAACACGGTGTCCCAAAGTGGTCCCCTTTTATTGCACTATTTCTTAAGCTTCTTTCAACGTATCCCCCTCCCCCCTTGGATATAGGCCCAAAGTATGTTTTCGAACTCCTCGCATGTTGCACGCTGGTATTGCTCCTTCATCTCTCCCCCCAC